TCCCTTCCCCTCCTTTGGGTTTGTGCGCCGCCCTGAGTCCCGCCGCGAATAGGGCGGCATATAAATAAAATGAACCTTGAACAAGGATGCATTATTGTCATTTTAGGGTATTTTAGAACGGCTGGATGCTGGAGAAATTGTGATTGGTGATGGAGGATTTGTCATTGCTCTTGAAAAGAGAGGTTATGTAAAAGCTGGACCTTGGACTCCTGAAGCTACAGTGGAAAACCCTGAAGCAGGTAATGTATATTTATGTATTCATCAAATCAAATTTGAGGGGCTGCCACAAAGAGGGGGGGGTCAAATTATTCTCCAAAGTGCCAGAGGGAAGGATAAGAAATAATAGTTGGAAACTGATCAAAGAGAGAAGCAACCTGGAAATAAGGAGAAACTTCCTAACAGTAAGGACAATTAACCAGTGGAACAGCTTGCCTCCAGAAATCATGGGGACTCCATCACTGCATGTTTCTAAGTAGATTCTAGACAGTCACTTGCCTGAGACTTGAAGACTTCCAAGGTCCCTTCCAGCTCTATTCTATTGTAAATTCTAAATCAAATATTCTGAATTGGATAGTGACCCAGTTGTAGAATAAACATATTGCTCCAGTCCAGTTAAAATTAGTTAATCTAGCCCTTTCTCTTCTACCCATACGAGTTTACGGAGGCTTTATGGAGGTTTTTAATTAGATATTACCTTTTAACCTTGCGCATGTAGAAGTTTTTCGAATTGATGTAAATCACATTACTGGTTTTTTAAGCAGGGAAAAGCAAGTTAGAAACATTGTTTGCCCAAATCAACATCTGTGAAGTGAGCCTAGTGTTCTTCCTAATTTTATCGTTTTGTATATCTGTGTGGATCTACATGCGGAATAATTTAATAATAATTCATCATGTACCATTTACAAGCTATGTTGCACAGGATTCCTATGAGCTAAAGTAATAGGTTTTCTAAAGAAGTCAATTATGACTTTTTAAAAATAATAACAGAATAATGTTGAGTCATTGAAGAACATTCAATCAAGATACTTCGGACACAAGACGGGACCTAGAATCATAGGGGCAATAGGGTTTGTTAAAAGATACTGCTGGTACAGTGCTAACGGTATGTTTAACTCTTGACTTTGCTTCAATATTTTGTAGTTCGTCAGCTTCATCGAGAATTCCTCAGGGCTGGAGCAAATGTTTTACAGACATTCAGCTTTTATGCCAGTGATGATAAATTAGAGAACAGAGGAAACTATGCAGCTGATAAATTTTCTGTAAGTAGTTTCAACCGCTTCTTATTAGTAATTTTGACAAGTAAGCAGAGTTTTTTAAAAATGTGTATTTAATCTTGATACTTTTGTGTTGCTACGGTTTAAGCAAAAGTATTCACGTAGTCCTCGATGTAGGACCACAATTCGAACCAGAACTTTCATCTCTAAACAATGCAGTTGTTAAATGAACCACACCCCAATTTTACCACCTTTTTTATCACGGTCATTCAGTAGCCACTAAGCAAACCACACAGTTGTTGAATATACTTGGCTTCCCCCATTGACTTTGCTTGTTGGAAGCTTTGAAGGCAACAAATGGCAATCAAAGGACCACAGGACACTGCGATGCTCGTAAATGCATGCCAGTTGCCAGGAACCCAAATTGTGATCATATCACAGTGGGGTTTTAAGTCCAAAAACCAACCATCAGAAACTTTTTTCAGCATCTGACTTAAAATGATTGTTAAACAAATAGTCGTAAGTCAAGGACTACTTGTATCTTTATTGTTAAATTAATATTTAACAACACTAACACAATGTTAAACAATACTTAGTTGCCTAGTTTTTGTTTTCTTTTACATTTTCCCAGTTTCAGGAATGCTTTAATATTAATAGTTAAAAGTTCCTTAAAGGAAGAAATGGTTGGCACAACATTTTCTTTATAGTGCAATGAGTCTAGACAAAGTGCTTAATTCTTCTCTACTTGTTCCTGAACTTCTGGTTTGCCCGTAGGGCCGTTTTTTTGCGCTCCGGAGGCTTCAGGGAAGCTCAGGGCCTCCAGGGGGGGGCTCTTTTCACCCTCCCCACACTCCTATAAAGCCTCTGGAGCCTGGGGAGAGCGAAAAATGGCTTTAAAAAAGGGTGAACTCAGCTGGCCAGCGCGCACATGCACACTAGCCAGCTGACGGGGTAGCGCCTCGCGTGCCCTGACAAATGGCTCCGCGTACCACCTGTGGCATGAGTGCCATAGGTTCGCCATCACTGCCCTATACCATTTCAGACAAATGGTTGTCCAACCTCATCTTAAAAACTTAACAGTTTTGGAGCATTCTTCTGGAAGCAAGTTTTTCCACTGATTAATTGTTCAACCTGTCAAAAAATTTCTTCTTAATTCTATATTGCTTCTGTCCATGATTAGTTTCTATCCAAAGCTTCTTGTCCTGCCCCTCAGGTACTTTGGAGAATAACTTGATTGCCATCTTCTTCGTGACAACCCCTGAGATATTGGAATACTGCTATTATACCACCCGTAGCCCTTCTTTTCATTAAACTAGATATACCCACATCCAGCAATTGTTCTTTATGTTTTAGCCCCAAGTCATCTTTGTTGCTCTTCTTTGCATTCTTTCTAGCTGTTTTCCATCATACTACTACTGGAACTCAGGAGTAGAACAACCTACCACATAGAGATCTCAACCTCCCTTGCATTTTCTACCTCACCGTAAATTTCAAAATAGAGCAGCCACAATGGTACAGTGGTTAGAGTGCAGTACAGCAGGCTACTTCTGCTGATCACCGGCTGCCAGAATTTTGGCAGATCGAATCTCACCAGGCTCAATGTTGACTCAGCCTTCCATTCTTCTGAGGTCCCAGATTGTTGCGGGCAATATGCTGACTCTGTAAACCGCTTAGAAAGGGCTGTAAAGCATTGTGAAGCGGTATATAAGTCTAAGTGCTATTGCTAGATTGCTCACTGAGATTGATGATGCAAACATTCTCCTGCCAATTTCTTTGCCATCTACACTTGTTGCTGGTCTCTTTCTAGATCTAATTCAGAATGCAAGTTTTGATTTTTAATACCCGAACAGCTTAAGGACAGGTTACCTGAAAGAATCCCTTCTCCTTTATATATCTATCTGGATTTTAAAAAATGAGTAAGTTCTCCTCCAGGTGCCCTTACTAAAAGAGAATAAGTTGGGTCTCTTACAAGGGAGAGAATGGCTTTTTTATAATGGCACTCCACTTATGGAACTTCCTCTCCAGAGAGGTTTGACTGGCATCCATACTAACATTGTTCTGGCACCTTTCTATTTTCCAAAGGTTTTGAATTGGCTGTTAATTCTATTTGAAATCATATTGTTAAAGAGTTTGAATAAGTACCTTACAAAATATAAAATTAAAATGCCCCAAAATTCTCAAGTTCTCAAGGAGTATGGCTTTTCAGCCATGTTCTTTTATTTAGTTTTTTAATATTGTCTCCCATTCAAGGAAACACTTATTGATTTCTGACATAGGAGAAACTGATGAAAGGAACACTCATAGATATTAGGATTTATAATGAGATCTATATATGTCTGAATCAGGAGAAGATAATTTTTCTGATGAACCACATAAGAAACTGGAACTATTATGGAGTACTGCTGCAACCAATAGCAATAGCAGTTAGACTTATATACCGCTTCATAGGGCTTTCAGCCCTCTCAAAGCGGTTTACAGAGTCAGCATATTGCCCCCAACAACAATCCGGGTCCTCATTTTACCCACCTCGGAAGGATGGAAGGCTGAGTCAACCCTGAGCCGGTGAGATTTGAACAGCCAAACTGCAGAACTGTAGTCAGCTGAAGTAACCTGCAGTGCTGCATTTAACCACTGCTCTTTTTTAAGATCTAGTTTATATTGACAAGTTATAAACCACCCCCCTGCTGCCCCTCATTACCTGCACAAGCTGGACGGGGACAGTCAAAGGACCAGATGTAGCCTGCAGGCCATAAAATTCCCAAGTCTAGTCCGGACTCATGCTGATCTGCCATCCCTGGTTAAACTCCTTACCCCGAAATGGGATATTACTACTATTTACATTAAATTGGTCAGAGTCATCTTCTCTCTTAATAAGGCTTCTTTTTTATTTGTTTCCCTTGGTTATCTGTAATTAATTGGGCAAAGATCAAGTTTAAAGGATAAGCTGCACTTCTCCAATACCGTATACACTGCATTTCTGTAGGCTACTGAAATTGGAAATCAAAGTGTTGCTCCATTCTCGTGTATAAAAGTATGCCAGTTAACATTTGACAACCATTGCTTGCTTTGTGGAATTGCTGACTGATAAAATGCACAATACTTTAACTGTGTAATATATGTGACTTTTTTTTTTCTTACACTATTATGTATATTATTTAATACCCTGTTTTGAAGAGGCCCGAAGACTTAGCTCGTTACCCAGGCCTTTGATAAGGATAACTGAAGCCTTCTTTTAATCTAGGTTGTTTTTTGTTTGGTTCCACCAGGTTTGTAATTCTGCCATCTACTCTTTTTTTGTTTCCTGTTTTTAATGCCTTGCTTCCATGTTTTCAGTCACTTGTAAACCACTAACAGTCACTGGGAGTTGGGCAGCATACAGCATATTTAAATAATGATAATAAAAATTAGCACTTCAATCTTTTCATACCATTAGGGGCAGAGAATAAATGAAGCTGCTTGTGACATTGCAAAAGAAGTTGCTCAAGAAGGTGATGCTTTGGTGGCTGGAGGTGTTAGTCAAACACCTTCATACTTAAGCAGCAAGAGTAAAACTGAAGTGAAAGCAATCTTTCGAAAGCAGTTGCAAGTTTTTATCAAAAAAGAAGTGGATTTCCTGATTGCAGAGGTAAATAAATTCACTGACAAATGAAAAGTATTGTCTGTATTATCTTTATTTTATTTGTACTCTTAATGACATAAGGAAAGACAAGGCAAATAGGATTACCGTGTGGAAGAGATTGGCAAAGTGTTATTGCCCAAGAAAGCTTTAATTTGTGCAAAGTCTGTGTACATCTCCTAGTAGAATTGTATTGTACCTCAGTTGTACTTCAAATTCTAAGACCTTTCTTGATAATATGATGCATGCACAGACACATGAACCCACGTACATACATACATACATATATACCTATATGGATATATTTATTGTATTTTTCGGACTATTAAGATGCACCGGTGTATAAGACTCACCAAGATTTCAAAGAGGTAAGTAAGAAAAAAAACTTTTTGTCCTCCCTGGCCCCCAGGAGAACTCTGCAAACTTCAACAGGGCTAGGGTAAGGCAAAAACTCCCCCATTTTTCACCAAAACAGGGGCATTTTTCCCTTCCCCCAGCCCTGCTGAAGCCTGCAGAGTGCTCCTGGGGGTGTGTGGGGGAAGACAAATACATCTCCTTTTTAGCAAAAAATGGCCCATTTTTTGCCTGTTTTTCACCAAAACGGGGGCATTTTCCTCTTTCCCCAGCCCTGCTGAAACCTGCAGAGTGCTTCTGGTGGGAGGCAAAAGGCCCCCGTCTTTGCGAAAAATGGCCCGTTTTTCTCAAAAATTGGATCCATGGGCGGGGCTTTGGGAGGCCAAAAATAGCTGTATTCGGTGTATAAGACGCACCAACATTTCCACGCTCTTTTAGGGGGGGGGATGCATCTTATACTCCGAGAAATACGGTATATCCTTCCTTTGGCATGGTAACCCAGGCCTCAAACTAAAGCATTGAATCGAAGTGGTTAGAAAGTTCTCACATTGAATTAAGAAATCACCACTAGTTCCAAGATTTAAAGTAAGTTGTTATATGGTTAAAGATACTTTTGGTTGTATGGGTGGGAATGGAACAACTTGCCACAGCCAACTTGCTGTGGAAAACTCCCTGCGGCCAACTCGCCACAGCCACCTCACCCACAGCCAACTTGCAGCAGGCGAACTCGCCATGGCCAACTCACTGCAAGACAACTTGTTGTGGGACAATTTAACAATTCTATTTAATTATTTTAAATAATGCAAATTATTTTAATTTTGCCATTCGCTTTTCATTCTGTCCCTCCTTTTGCATCTTTTCTTTAATGATTCTATTCCACCATTGCTTTCACATTAGTGCAACTTTTGTCCTGCAGCAAGTTGTCCTGCAGCGTGGTTGGCCGTGGTGAATTGGCTGTGGCAGGTTGGATATGGCGAGCTGGCTGTGGCAATTGTCATAGACAATTCATGTAGCCCTTGATTTACAACTATTAAGTGACCATTTGAAGTTACAACGGCACTGAAAAGTGACCTGGGACCATTTTTTACACTTACGACCATTGCATCATCCCAATGGTTACATGATCAAAATTTGGACACTTTGCACCTGGCTCATGTTTATGTCCCAGTTGCAGTGTCCCAGGGTCACATGATTAGTTTTTGTGCCTTTCTGACATAAAAAAAGTCAATGGAGGAAGCCAGATACATTTTACAAAAATGTGTTACTTACTTTGACAGCTGCAATGATTCATGTAACACCTGTGGCAAGAAATGTTTTGTAACATGGGGCAAATTGACTTAACAACTGTTTCACTTAGCAATGGAAATTTTGGGCTCAATTGTGATCATAAGTCAAAAACTACTTGTAAATATCTGCAGCTGTTCTTTAAAAACAACTTGGCTTCTTATTTTTATCTTGACATACTGCATTTTTTTCAATTAAAAAATTGTTCCTCAACTTGTTTTGTAAATTCTTTTTGTAAATTGTTGCTAGTATTTTGAACATGTTGAAGAAGCCACATGGGCAGTTGAAACTTTAAAAGAATCTGGGTTGCCAGTTGCAGTTACTCTGTGCATTGGCCCAGAAGGAGACATGGATGGTGTACCACCAGGAGAATGTGCTGTTCGGCTAGTTAATGCTGGTAAGATGTTACTTTCAGTATCAATTTCGATTAAAGCTTCTATTCTGACAATTTCATGAATATAATTTTATTGGCAATAATATAGAAGTGATTTGCTGTTGCCTTCTGGGATAATTTTACCATTTTTCAAGGTAGCCTATGTTCTGATATTCCTATCCAATAATTAAAAGAGTTAAAGAAAAACATTGTACTTCTATTTCTCAATTTTTCTGGCTTTTTAGTTATTTTCATCATGACAAAAATATAGCTTCTCGCTATTTTAAGGTGATTTCATCCATGCATCTTTAAAATGCAATTAGTTTTACAAAAGATTAAAAGGGGTGAATGTTGGGCATTGACCCTGAAAAGTATTACAGAAAATGTTGTTTCTTGTTTCTTAGGGGCTTCTATTGTTGGAGTAAACTGCCACTTTGATCCAGTTACTTGTCTTAGAACTATAAAACTCATGAAGGAAGGTTTGGCAACTGCGAAACTAAAAGCACACCTGATGTCACAGCCACTTGCTTTTCATACCCCTGATTGTGGGAAGCAGGGTTTCATTGATCTACCAGAGTTTCCTTTTGGTAAGATTTCATTGCTCTTTTTTTGTGGTTATCAAGATTATCAAGAAGAATAGTGCAAAAACATTAAAATCACATACATGCTGGGATTAAAACTACACACATAATTTTAGAGAAGACTTGTGTATGGTTGATCTGAAATGAAATCTACACTGTCTTGCTTAGAATGCAAGTAAATATTGGATAACTTAAACCAAAATAAAGAAATTTTTCAAGAATAACCTAAGGTACAATTTAGAGTAGATTGTGATGATTTCTTCACAGATACTTTAACTACAACTTGCATAGGTAGATTAAAATATTTTTGAATGGTAGTAGAGGAAAATGAGGGAGTTTACATTATTTGAATTTGCCCAAGGATGGAAACCAGTTGAATTAGCTTTTTCCACAACTCTCCAGTTAAACTATATTTTGCATTTTCCCTGGGGATGTTGGGTCTGTATTTAATAAATGTAGGGATTGATGAAAAGAGAACAAAAATGCTGTTAAATTGGAGGGGGGCAGGGGGGACACCTGCAGCAACAAACAGAGAAACCAAAAGCTGAGTGGAAAGGAATGTTAGTTTGTAAATAGAAGGTATAAATAGAAATAAAATCCAAGTGATTTTAAGTAATTTTTAAGATTAGGTCAACTTTGTGGTAGGAGACCATTCCCAAAGTAGGAGTAAATAAATGCATAATTACCTAACTTGGTCCGTGGAGGTCAAAGGAATCCTCTTGAGGATAATGCTAATGTTTTACCGGTTTTGTGTATAATATTAACTGAATATTACAATGAATATTTAAAAATTCATATCATTACAGCTTTGGAGCCAAGAATTTTAACCCGATGGGATGTTCACAAATATGCAAGAGAAGCTTACAATTTAGGGATCAGATACATTGGAGGCTGCTGTGGATTTGAACCATATCATATCAGAGCAATTGCTGAAGAACTGGCCCCAGAAAAGGGTTTTTTACCCCGGGCATCTGAAAAACATGGTAGCTGGGGGAGTGATTTGAGTATGCATACTAAACCCTGGGTTAGAGCAAGGTAAGTGTACTTTTAATTTTGGTAGTAAAATAATTGATTTAAAATATAGTTACTCCTCAACTTACAACTATTGGGACCAGAAATTCTGTTGCTAACTAAAGTGGTGGTTAAAATTATCTCTCTGCTGCCATCCAGTGGTTGCCTGGATATTTGCAGCTCAGATATTGAAAACCCAATAGAGCTAGAACATATACTATCACTCTGCTGCCTTCCAATTGATAAACTGAATGTTTTGAAATCATTTGTTCCAGCCACCTGTCCTATTCTATAATCCATTATTGAGATGCCTCACAAAAAACTATCCCAGCCTGTCTTTAAGTGCTTCTAGCAAAAGAGAGTCTAGTATTTTATGATCCAGTCTGTTCTATTACTGAATCACCTAGAGCAGGGTGTCAAACACAAGGCTCGTAAGCCAGATCCAGCCTGTGATGTGGTCAGATCTGACCTGTGGGGCCAGACTGGAAAATGTAAGGGGCCAGCCCATGTGGCTTGGGCCCAGGCTACCCAGTGCCGAAGAGGAAACATGCCAGCAGTTTAGGGAGTGGTATCAAACTGGCCATGCCCACCCAGTCGGCCACGCCCAGTGAGTGGTGTCAAGATGGTCACACCCACCCAGTCAGCCATGCCCCCCCCAGCCGAGCCCCCCCTCCCAAGATCAACCACAGCCCTGATGTGGCCCTGAATAAATTGACTTTGACATCCCTGACCTAGAGTTCTAGGGAGATGGGCAGCATATAATTTGAATAATAATACCTTTTACTGTTGAAAAATTATTTAATGTCCAATTACAATATGATTCCTTATAATTTAAACTATTATTTTTGCCTTCTGTACCCACACTGAACAAGTTTGTTCCATTTTCTCGATGATGGCCTTTCCAAGACAGCTAAGATGTTTTTGCATAGTCTTTTTTTCTCCATGCTAAACAAGCATCCAACTGTTTCTGTTCTTCGATTTACTTTTTGGGTGCTTCTGTATATGTTTTCATAAGATTTAATTCACATAACTAAACACAGTCCATATTTTGCTATCTTCTCTGCTAGGAGCTTAAGGGAAAGTTCATCAAATTTTTTGCAAAATCAGAAGGGCACTATGTCTATTACATTCCCATTCGCCCTATTACATTTATAGGGCGGCCTATAAATACTAATAAAATCCTTAAAATCCTATGATCAGCTAAACTGATCACAATAAAAATGGAGATCGGCGTGATATATTCTGCCAAGCAATACATTATTTTCTAAATAATAATGTATAATAACATAAATTATAGTTATTTAGGTACTCTTTCCCCCTTTTCACTCTTTAATCCTGTGCCATTAAACTCATCCTCCATGATTTCTCAACAGATCAGAAAAAGGATTTCAGGATGATATTCTCAAATTCCTTGAAATCTCATGGATGTAACTGTATTGGTCCTGGAGACTTAGAAACCCATTTATAGTAGCCTGGTGCTGCCTAACGTTTGATTGTCTCCATGGGATAATTGATGTGCTTAGGTCTCTTTCAACAGTTCCCCTTGAAGCAAAATAGGAGTTGAGAAACTTTCTTTTTCTTCCCCTTGTCGCCTCTTAAAATCTTCTTTCTTTACCAAGCAGTGGGCTTATCCCTTCCTTTTTTTCTTCCTCTTGTTAGCAAACTGACTTTTTACATACCTTATGAGTCTAGATTCTATTTGCGCCTTAACTTTTTTGACTTTGTTTTCTGCAGGTATTAACTACTATCTGGAACTCTTCCTAGGATATTATGCTTGTGCATGCCTCTTCATAGAGTCTAGAGCTCACTGTGCATCCACAAGCCGCAAAGCTTTTTTCTCTTTCTTGGTTTTTATAATTACTGTTGATAGTTATGACACAATAGATTAGAAATATGCCATTTTCCATTTTCTTATAGCCACTAATTAGCTTTGTTTGTTTTGTCTACTTAGGGCTAGAAAAGAGTACTGGGAGAATATGTTACCTGCTTCAGGTCGGCCGTATTGTCCCTCACTGTCAAAGCCAGATGATTGGGAAATGACCAAGGGCGATCTGATACAGCAGAAAGAAGCAACAACTGAACAACAGCTGAAAGAGCTTTTCAAGAAACAAACATTCAAATCCAAAACTGTACCGTAAATTAGCAGCAATTTAATAGCAATAAAAATTGCAAAAAAATTGCAATCATTATTAAATGAGCCGATGATACAGGCAAATGTAATTCATAGACCTTCTTGTGTGATCTTCTTTCCTTTGGTTCAAGTGTTGCAATTTTGAGATTTCTACAGAAGCACAACACAGTCCTGCAGATTCTTGATTATTTTACATACCCTCCAGGACCCAGCTTTGGCCATTTCTTCCAGGGGTTCCACAGATGAGTCATGCTTGTGGAAATTCCATTATGTAAAAGGGTTATTTCTTCAATAACAATTGCTGGCTCCAGATTTGTGCTTTTAAGTCACACTGCATTCAGTTACATCTCCTTCACAAAGCCTGAGTTTAAGATTGTAGGGAAAATATGAGTGTATTTTAGGTTAAATATAATTTAGCTTCATCTGGGTTGCTAACATAATTTGGGGAAGGCTATTATGTGGAGCAATATTTAGCAAAATACCAAGGTACTAAACACTTAAAAAACAGGCATGTTTTCAGTCAACCATCCTCTGACAGATTAAACATCTGTTGCCTACAATAATGTTTTTTTTAAAAAAAAAACATTTTGCTTAAGTTTAAGCAGAGCCATATTAAACTTTGGTGCTGTTTTCTCATTTGGGCAGAAGATTCCTATACTGTATTTTGGAGCAGATGTACAAATACTCTTCTTGATTGCGATGTTCTTAAAATTATGTGTTTATAGTTTAAGCAGTTCACTCTTCTGAGAGGGACAAATAAAATTACAAAAATAATTGCCAGTTGTACTCCTTCCTTATTAGCTTTTCTGGACAAAAATAATTAAGAATGTTTAGATTTGATTAAACTAAAATAAAATGTATACTTGTTAGTACACACCATAGATAACTATTTTGCTAAGTCCATTACTGAGTAACTCAATTGTAATAACACTACAGAGAATGCTGTAATTCCTAGCAAAGGGAGTGTTCTTTCAACTAAACTGTAATGTAACTGTAACAATAGGTGTTTGAGATGAACTTGTTTATTCATTGAATTGTGTATATTTTGCACACTTTTCCTATATGTCAAAGACACTCAGGTGTGAATGATAAGAATAAAGAATTGTCACATCAGTAAAGAAATGGAACAGCTCCAGAAATAAGTAAGGTTGAGTGTTACTGATGTATTTCTAATAGTTCTTCTGAACTACTAAGTTCAGATTTGACAGATATCTATCTTGGTTCCACCACAAATGCGCGCACAACAAAAGCGCGCCTGACTAAACCGCGGTGTCTAAAGTGCGGTGACAAAACCGCGCGACGAATGAGCGACAAATTAGCCCTAAAGCGCGCCGACAAAACCACGCTGTAACGTAACCCTAAACCTAACCCTAAACTTAACTGTAAATCTTACCTTAAATTAAATCGCGCTTCTGTCGGTGTGCTGTTGTCAGCGCGCTTTTGACATCGTGGTTTTAGCGCTGCGGTGTTGGCGCGCTTATGACGTTTGCGCTTTTGTCGGGTCACGATCTATCTTATTGTTTGGTAATGAAATATCTTTTAATTACCACAGGGCTAGTAAATAGTATAAAGCATGTATATAATATTTTCTTATTTTATATAAGTCTAATAATATAGTGTAGACCTTGGGCATTTTATGGCCCACGGGCCACATTGTCTAGCCTGTGGCATGGGCGGCAGCAGCAAACGAGGGCGGGGTGGTGGGGGGGTGGGGCGGCAGCCCTCCAAAACAGTTCCAGTTTCTCATGTGGCCTCTTGGAAAAAAATTAATGATATAAAGTATCAAACATCACATTTAAATATAATGTGTCTAAAATTTTGGACATACAATTTATGACATGATATATGCATTTTTTTTAAAAAAAGTATTAAATTATTATATAAAAAGTTAATATGCCAAATAGCCATAAGAGAAAAAACCCTCCCAAATCAGAGCAGTATCTTTATTAGGCTAAAAGTTAGGGTTTTTTATGTTCGTGGAAACACTTATGTAAGAAATTTACTAGAGGCAAAGACTGAACGTTAAGAAACCTATTTTGTAACTAAATACATAATTGTCATTATTTATAAAATGTTCCATCAACCCTAAAATCATTCAATTAAAAGAAAACTGCATCTGTGAAGAAGAAAAAAAGATAAGTTGGAGGAAAAAACCCAGATAAAGAAAAGTAAGAATGAGTTGAAATGCATACTTGCATATGTGTAAGGAAATAATATAGACCCGTGATGGCAGATCTATGACACGCGTGTGGCATGCGGAACCATATTTGCCAGCACAGCAGTCCTCTGGTGCACGTTGATTTTTTACCTTCCGGTGGGCCGGGGGAGGCTGTTTTCACCCTCGCCAGGCTTCAGGAAAGCCTCCGCACATGTGGGTTGCTCGTGCATGCACGGGGTGGGCATGCAATAGCGCACATGCACACACTTTTGGCACACCTTTAGAAAAAGGTTAGCCATCACTGATATAAACATTCAATAACATGCATACTTATGCATAATACTATATTACTATAGCGAACAAGTTATAATATGCTACATAAGGAACTCAAATTTAGAGGACTGTTCCATTGTAGTACTGGATGCAAATTGCTTCTAGTACTTACCAACAGTTTTTAAACGATGGAGACAGCTAACAAATGTTTTGGGGGAGCCAGCGAATGGTCTTTTTTTTTTTAATCTCAGGTAAACATAACTCTTAGGAAATATGCATTTCTTTTGAATCAAGCTTGTACATCTGACCATTATCAAAGTTTGACCATTGTCAAAGTTTTCAAGATCAAGTGATCTCAGATTTGTTCTTGTATGTATTAATAATTACTGTTGGATAGTCAGTAAATATATAAAATTCAGAATGCAATATCTTGGACAGAAAGATAATCCTTGGACAAACTTGTCAACCCCTAACAAAATAATCTATAGCGTTTTAATTTAAGTGCTTCAAATTAAAGATATGTTTTATATTACTGTCGCGCAATTTCATAAAATGTAATACAGTCACTTGAACGTTCACATTGTGGCAACCTTTTCCAAAAATAGAACAAAAGCTCTTTGTGCTAAATCACTGGAAGGCAAAAAATTCTTGAATACAGCTTGTCTACAAGAAACCAAAACCAGTTTTCCTATAAAGCTACCATCATAGAAGATAATTTTTCATACCTTGTAAAAAGAAAAATAAATAGTAGTAGGACACTAATACATCTTATCAATCCAATATAATTATATCTTCAAAAAGTTTTTGTCCTAAGAATTACTTAATTACATTAACTAGCCAGAGGAACTTCCAAATGATTCCATGTACAGTGTATCTGAGGTCCAGAATTTGGTAACTTCTGGTATAAAATGTTCTGGTATCAATGTTAATAGCTAGAAAAATGATTCCGTTTCAGCTGGGCCAGTAGCAAATACGTTTGGAATCCTTTATACAAGGCAGCTAATTATAGTGTTCCTATTTGTTGCTACTATTGTTGAGTTATCTGGACACTCATGAAGACAACGGCTACATTTCAAAATAGTTTACTGTCACTTGTACCTTTTATCTGCTTGTGCCACACTTTTTTTACTTAAGAGGTTCCCTGAACATTTAGGGGAGGATTTGACTTAGTTGTTGCCAGAAAAATGACCTTGTAGGGTCATTTGCTGTAGGAGTTGGCAATATCCTGATAACACATTTAATTCTTTGCTGCCATCTTGTGGTTGCCTAACTCAGTTATAGCAACCTTGCCTTTTTGTTATTCCCTTCCCCCAGTATATTTTGAGCATATTCACGTCTCCCCAATTTCAATTTGAACCTAATAGTTCTTGAGGAACATCTCTGCATGACATTACCTTTGTTTTAATCCCAACTCATAGGCAATAACAGCCAACTTAATGAGACAGTCTGAGCCCTGTTATGCAGAAGTTTCAGATGGTTGATCCTGAGGATGTGGACAAGGTCCTTGCAGCTGACAGCTAAGTCATCTGTGTTCTGGACCCTGCTGGTTGGTTAAGGCGTTGTGGGAGATGCCATGTGGCTGGAACCAAATGGTTGTTAATACTTCTTTGTAGGAAGGGATGGTGCCACTTACCTTGAATGAGGCCATGATGCACCCCTACTCAAGAGGCTATCCAATGGTCTCAGCCATGGTAATAACTTTTGTCCTGTGTCAAACCATCCCTTTTTGGAAAAGACTGTGGAGAGGGTAGTTGGCAAACAGCTTCAGAAGGCCCTGAATGAAGCAGATTATCTGGATTTTTTTCAATCTGGGTTCAAGCCATAAAACAACACTGAGATGGCATTGGCCATGCTTGCTACTGATCTCTGAAAGGATGTGGTGGTGCAACTGGGTCTCCTGGATCTTTCAGGGGCTTTCAGTAGTATTCTGGACTGATTCAGGAGACTGGAAGTACTGTTTTGTGGTGATTCTCCTCTATTCTATGGCCAGCTCCAGTTGGTATTGGTGGGCAAGAAGAGGTCAAGGATCTGGATCCACTCAGCTCCTCTGATGGCTTTGTGATGCAGCCTCCTCCCCTCTGGTCAGCTGTCATGGATAGGCCACTCATACACTAGGTAATAAATAATATGACTGAAAAAATATTCTCCCCAATACCTGAACGGTAGGAGTGAGCACTGGGGTTGATTTATAAGGTGGACAAGAGCTTCTTGATTCTGACAATCAGCTACTACACTGGTCATCAGTAAAACTTGCCTTTTTTTCTCAGACCCAGCCACACTAGAGAAAATGCTTGGTTGCTGTTTCAATTGAGCAAATTTATGCTGGCATATTTTGTGTCAGCTCCCAGAGATGAAAACAGAACATTAAACATGAAGATCTTTGTATGATTTAGTTGTCAAATGTTCTTGATTAAAATGAGCAAACATACTGTAGCTTTAAGAGAAGTAAACTGGTGGGATTAATTCCAGAGATGTAGCCATATTGCTCTGTTACAACCAAACACAGAGAGGCCACTCATCTTAAAACAGATGAGTTCTGTTTTCAGTTCTGTGGCCCACATGTGATAGTGAGTTGCAAAATGCATATGCACACATAGATATAGATATGCACTGAAATGCACACTTGTATGTAGATGTGCAACCCGGCCATTTTAGACATACATAAAAATAAAAAGGTGCTTCTGCATTTTCATAGGATTTGAAACAAGACAGCACAAAGTTTCTTTTTTACCTTTCATTAAGAAACTAAACAATAGTTAATTTTGAATTTGTGGCCTGTTTTTACAAGAGTCATTTACAGCTGGATAACCACTTTCCATTTTTTACTGGACAGATAACCTCCAAGACACACATACATACATACATACATACAAACATACATACATACATACATTTGCTTGATGATACATTTGGATCAAGATGACACCTTAACATGGTATAGGAAAATGACTTAATAGATTTAATGCGAAAATGTATGATGCCTAAAGAATTTTAAGGTCGTCTATAAAAATCTATGGCATATATGTTGAATGTGTCAAATATTTAATATTGCTTCATTTCTGCATTTTTATACTATAAGATAGTAATGGAGTATTTTTAGAAGTCAACTTGTTTCCTCCCTTCTTTAAAAAAAACCTAATTCAATAACCTGTTTTGCAATATCAAAAATTTGCATTCTTCTTCATATGAGCTGCCATATAAATGATGTTTGAATTGCCATTCTTGTTTGCGACTTAGGGTTGCTTGGTTGCAGGGAGCTCTGTACATCAATTTGTCACCAAAACTCTGTAAATGGTGATGAATCCCATACAGCATACCTAAATACATAAAAATCTACAGCTGTCTCCTTGTTTCCCAAGTGATCTGGACAGAGCCAAGATTATTGAAGACAGAACATTAAAGCAACTTGCTTCCTCTCATGACTTATAGGTCCTGCAGGATTTCCTACAATAAGGCCCAGCAACATCTGTCATTTTGGCACTAACACTATGATCTCTAGGATACAAAGGAAGAAGATTTTCTAATAATAAAACTAGCAAGAGTTGCCACAGCAATTAATCAGAAATGTAGGAAAACAAATTAGAAGAAGGATCATGGACATCAAGTTGCATGCAGCTTTCCAGACTCAGAGGAATCCTACATGAGATGTGGAAGCTGTTGTTTGAATAACTCTTATCTTCCAAATAAATGGAACCATCCTGTTCCTACTCCAAATTAATTCCTAGTATCTTTAGAGCTAACTACTAAGTAAGTATACCTATTTACTTGGCAGCAAGCTTATCAAGCACTATTAAGATAATTTTCAAATAGAAGATTCCACTGAAAGCCTATAAATCCTTATACAAAGGAATTTCTGCACAATTCAAGGAAACAACTTCTATGAGTATAGTTGTGTAGACCGCATCTAAAACTAATTTTATAGATTCGACAATTTATAAAAGAAACCAATTTTAAAAGGCTACATATAAACAGTATGAAATGAAAATTTTGTAAAACCAGTTTGAAGTCAAAGAAACTAAACCACAATGTAGAAATTCTATAACATGCACCTGGGTTACATCCTGCTAAGAATGTGAGTTTTGGTGGCAAATTGATATACAGAGCTCCCTGCGACCAAGCAACTGTAAGTCACAAAAAAGAATGGCAATTCAAACATCATTTATGTGGCAGTTCATATGAAAAAGAATGCAAATGTTTGATATTTCAAAACAAGTTATTGAATTAGTTTTTTTAAAAAAAAGAAGGATGGAAACAGGTTGACTTCTAAAAATAAGTATTCCATTACTATATTAGAGTATAAAAATGCAGAAATGAAGAAATATTAAATGTTTGACACATTCAACATATATGTCATGGATTTTTATAGGTGATCTTAAAATTCTTTAGGCATCATACATTTTAAATTAAAGGAATAATTAAATTATTGCTCTGAAAGCATACAGTAAAAAACACACATTAAATCCATTTAGTCATTTCCCTATACCATGTTAAGCTGTCATCTTGATCCAAATGTATCATCAAGCAAATAACCCTATAGTTCTATGGAGTCACCACCTGTGAGAGTCAATAACTGTGTGAGATTTAATAAAATATGAATAATGGTCTACCATTAGCCTGCCTTGTTTACTTTTCTAAAATAAATCAAGATCCTTTTGCAATGGAAAACACAATATGTCAGGCAAGGCATAATTCAAACTATAGTTTTTAGAATTCTATTAAAATCAAAGATCAACAAGGCTAAGTAACAAAATTTAAATATTAAAAAATGTATCTACTTTACCACCATTGATCATTTGTAATAAGAATGAGATGTATATGTTTGAAAAACAAGCCACCAGCTATTAAAGAAGATTGATCTGTTATGTGGCTTGTGGTTTCTCCCACAGTTCCTTATTTACTGTTTTGGAGTTTAACATCTAGTTGTAGTTACAAAGTTAAAGTATTTGTTTTCCATTGCTTTTTGAGGATAGATATTGTATGTCTGTTCTATTAAAGTTTATATGACAAATTATATAAACTGCACTATTCAATTTTACTCTAAGGAGCTCACAACTTCAAGGTTTTTCTATTTTCTTCTTTATTATAAGTACAGCTTGATGTATTCACTGAACCAGTATTTCTCAATCTCAGAAACTTTAAGACTTCAACTCCCAAAACTCAATCTTAAAGTTTCTGAGATTGAGAAACACACCACTATGCATTTAATAGTTATATTGTTTCATTTTGTGCTACTCTCCTTTAAAATTACCTTTAATGAAAATTGCTTTAAAATATGTAAATTATGAAATATTCAGCTAATAGAAAACACAATACAAATGTATAAATGAAGAGAATGACAAAGAGAGGATGTAGTGATTCATATTTCATTTACTAATTACAGATACATAGGCCCTAGTCAACCTTCAATAGAAAATATTCCCAACTCAGAATGTAACTTGCTATCTCAACAGAAGGGAATCTTCCGTTATTCAAACCCATTTTGCCACATTATACTTGCCACTAATTCCACTAGCTCCATTTTTGGAGCTTGCAAAAATAAATTTAAATATTAACTAGCCAATGAGAATTGGCTAGAAAACATTTGATTTTGGATATTTTTTAAATAATTCATATTTCTAAAACTACCAAGGCAACACCACAACTTCCAAACACATGGCACACAATCCACTAGAATCCATTATTTTACAATCAGTTGTTTTAATTGTAGAGATACTAATGACCTTTATGTTTCAAGAACTATATTTAGGTTCATTTGAGTTGTAAACTTTTGAAATAGTCTTGGAAAAACTCTACTATTAGGATTTTATTGTTGTTGTTTTGGTGCATTAAAGTCCGACAACCCCGACTTGAATGTATTATTTCCTAATAAAGTTTTAAAGTGGAAAAAAAATCTGCACTGTGACAGAATCTGTATCTTATCAATTTGTTACTTTGAGGGACAGGCATATACAGTATGTGCACTAGCTTTTATCCTAATTGGAACCATCATGATCCCTGATAATTATTAATTGACCCATGTCAGGAATGTTAGCTTCAAATACTCTTATTCACATTTCAACCTGTCAACCTGGACTCCTTTAATCTAAATTTTTCAGGTTCATAAATAGGCAGCTGCCTAGTAAGAATATCATATAATGATTAGTCAAAACATATTTAGTCATTTCCTTCCCTTTAGAACTGTTATTAACTATTATTTTATGATTATTTTAATTTTAATTATTAACAGTCAATAGAAAAGAATTAATAAAATTTAATGGAATTAAATTCTATGAAAAGGAATTGGAATCAAGTATTCAGAATGTGATATATTTAGATGTGAGATATGTATGTGTGTGTATGTATATGTATATATGTATATATGTATATATGTATGTATATGTATGTATATGTATGTATGTATATACCGAGTAATGAAATTTAGAAAAATATAAAAACCTGGTATCGTACCTTAGGGAAATAGTTTCTTAAAAAAGACTTTGGTAAGTTAAGGCTGGTTCAAAATTAAGACTGACTTCCACGGATCAGGTTTATATTTTCCGACAATCTGAAGTTGCTACGACTGATACAGATTTTCCTCTTAGGGCTCGTAGACGTCTTTCATTGATACGCATCTTCTTTCCGCAACAACCAGCGGAAACGGGAGGGACTCACTTCAAAGGCAAGAGAGAAGTTTGCAAACGCAGCTGAGCTCGACGCCCGCCATCTCACCGCAGAAACCCGCCACGAACTTCAGCAGCCACTCTCCGTGAAAAGGTCTCACCAACCCCTCAACTGAGACCCTAAAGCTGCTCTTTTCGGGACCGGTCTTGGGTTCAAGGCGCCTTTCTGGCAGGATTCCGTTCTTCCCAATCATCCGCCCAGGAGCGCTTTGATCCGGATCATTTGGAGGAGAAAGAGGAGGGGAACAAGGCGGGCGGTCCTGAAATATCGGGGAGGAACAAGGCCGACAAAAGGAGAGGAGCGAACCGCCGTCCTCCCTGTCCGGCGGAGTGGAGGATGAGACCTCCCCCAGCTCGAGGGAAGAGGCGGGCAGGGCGAACAGCGCAAGAGGCGGGACAGCGGCCTCGCGGTGGCTTGTAAACAGATCCGGCGTCTCCACGTGACCGACTGCAAGTACCTGTGCGGGAGACTCTGCGGCCGCCAGACTCCTGACAACAAAGCAGAGCGCGCGGAAGGCGCGCGCGCGCGCTGCAGCAGCGGCGGCAGCATCAGCGGCGGCCGTTGGAGCCACCGGCGGGTCTCTGGCGCCTTTCCACCGCGGGTCTCCGGGTCCTGACTAGCCTGGCATCTTTCCTGCTTGGGTTTCCGCCCGCTTGGATTTCCGATGCCGGCCGTTAACATGGCTCAGGCTGGGCGGTGACTGGGGACCCGGCAATCTTGACCGGAACAGAGACTTCTCTTCCCCCCCCCCCACCCCAGTCCTCGATTCGCGACGTCCGTGAGAGAAAAGGGAGGCGGGGGGGGCGTCGCGGTGTCGGTCCACCATGAGCACCTTCGCCTTGGAAGAGACCTTGGAGGCGGACTGGGTGGCCGTGAGGCCTCACGCCTTCCACGAGCGGGAGAAGCAGAAGTTTGCCTTTATCGTGGCCTGGAATGAGATCGAGAGCAAGTTCGCCATCACCTGCCATAACCGGACGGCGCAGAGGCAGCGCAGCGGCTCCCGGGAGTTCCGCCGCACTGGCGCGGTGGGCCCCGGGGCGCCCGAACAGCTAAGCGCCTCCTGTAAAACGGCCGGCAGCCCCACTATACGAAAATCCCCGGCCCGACGCGCCGCGGAGCCCATCCAAGCCAGGAGCTCGCCGGCATCGCCTGCCCGGGCCGAGTCGCTTCCGCGCAGCCCGGGCAGCCGAGCGGTTGAGGCGTCGCAGAGGAGCCCGGCGAGGACCAAGAGCAGCCTGGCCCGGAGGCCTCAGCCCGCTCCGAAGGCGCCGCTCAGCCCAGCGGCCTGCGCGGCCGAAGATCTGGAGGAGCTGGAGCTGGGCAAGGACGAGCATTCGGAAGGTGCCGTCGCTGCCGCCTTTCTCCTCCCTTCTCCCGCCGGGCCTCAAGCGACCGAGTCGCCCACCGCGGCCTCCGCCGAGGTGGAAGCGCTGTCTGGAGAGGAATGTAGCTGGGCCGGCCTCTTCTCTTTCCAGGATCTGCGGGCCGTCCATCAACAGCTGAGCTCGGTGAACTCCGAGCTGGAGCCCTGTTTGCCCGTCCTTCCCGAAGAACCGTCGGGGATGTGGACGGTGCTCTTTGGGATTCCAGAGCTCTCGGAGGAAGAGATGGATGAGCTGTGTTACCAGCTGCAGGTATACCTGGGCCACTGCCTCGATACTTGCGGCTGGAAGATCCTCTCGCAGGTACTCTTTACCGAAACCGATGACCCGGAGGAATATTACGAGAGTCTGAGCGAGCTTCGGCAGAAGGGCTATGAGGAGGTTTTGCAAAGGGCCCGTAAGCGCATTCAGGAGGTGAGCAATGCCCCCAGTCTATATAAAAGGTGGAGGGGAGACCCTCATCAAGCTAATTAATACATTCTGCAATGTACAATCTTAGAATAAATTTCCTAAGGTTTGTCTTTCAGTTGTTTTCTTTCTTTTTTCCTCTTAACATACTGTAATTCCAAATTGTTTAGGGAAAAAAATACTTATTGGTTGGTAAATCTGAACGTTTGCTGGAGTATTTCTTAGAAAATCTTCCAAGATGCAAATTCTTGATTCAAATACCTGTATACCTAATTATTATGAAACTTTTATTTATTTATTTATTTATTAAATTTCTAGTCCTTCCGACTCCAACTCTAGGTGACTCACAGGTACAAACATTAACCACAACCATAAACATGGTTGATATGTTGGGCTGCACTGGGAAGGCCTGGTTTCAAATCCACCCTTAGTGAAGCTGCTCGGGTCTTTATAGGTCACTTATTCACTCAATTTACCTCACAGAATTATTGTTATAGGGGAAATTAGGATAATGTATATTGATTGGAGGAAGCACAACCAGAAGAGTTTTTTAAGAAAAGAAGATGGCAGTATTTTGATACCTGCACAAGAAGGGAGGGGCTTCAATCATGTGATCATTTTTATTTATTTACCTGGCTTACGTGAGTTATCATCTTATATGTAATAACCCTGTTTGCTCACAACAAGATTAGTAAAACAAAACAAGATGAAACAATAATACCAACTTCATTATGGCTGCCATGTTGACTTTTTGGAGTTCCCAGTGACTGGGGAACTATAAATCTAACAAGCAAGTAAATAAATGGTATTTGTCTTCTGCTAAATTTGATTTTGAAGTTGGCATATATGTAATATTAGGAATTTAGCCCAGAAGCAGGATGTCAGTTGTAATAACAATCAAAGCTGAGATTTCAATAGAAGGGAAATTTAGACCAGTATTCTTTTTTATTTTGCTTATAATTCATTGTAGGTATATAAAATAAAAGCTGCAAAGGGCCCTAGTGGCAGTAGCAATATCCAAGAAAAAGCTTTATTGCTTTAGCTTTTTCCTCAGAGGAGAATAACATTTTATTCTAGAAGGAGAATGGAAAGCCAGTTTGGTGTAATGGTTAAGGTGTGGCATAGAAACCAGGAACTGAGAGTTCTAGTTCTGCCTTAGGTATGAAAACTGGCTGAGTGACTTAGGGCTGGTCCCTGTCTCTGCCTAACTCACCCCAGGATGGTGGTGATGAAAATAGGAGGAAGGAGTATTTAGAAATGTTTGTCATGTTGAGTGACTAATAAAGTAATAAGCACTGGATAAAAACAATAAACACTGGATAAAAACATAATAATCATTGAATAGTGTGAAATAGAGTGTTCTGAGGCCATAAGTTTTTTTTAAAGCACTTTGTAAGGGTTTATCCAAGCTCTTTAGTCTGTATATGATTTTTGTCATACTGTATATAAATGTTGGTAACTATTCTAATCAGGATATATTTATTTTAGAAAATAAAGTGATTATACATGCAGTATATTTAATTACTTACCAAGTATTTTAAGTATCTTAGAAATTAAAATGTTTCTCATATGAAACAGGCATAAAATATATTTTGTTAAACTACCTTCAGTTTTATATGGATATGATTCTAGAGCTATTGGCTGTGCCAGTATTATGTTGACTGTCTGGTAACAATCTGTATATATACTGTATATGCTAATTAAATGCATTGTCTGATGTCAGTATATCTGTTAGTACCTTCTATGTAACTGACTCATATTTAATTAAAAGGTGCATATTTAAGAAAGATTAACTTACTTTTTTTCTCTCAGGTTTCCACTGTCTTATCAATTGAAACAAGAACCTCATAGCTCACTTGGCTAAATTATTCCATGATAATGAAGCAACAGATGACAGACATTTAATATTAATGTGTAATATGAATATAGTAGTTTTCTACACTTCAGATTGGGATTCAATTGTCTCCTGAAATGTGAGACAACTCAGTTCATGCACTGTATTTCACTCATTTTCTTTTGCCTTACCTTTGCTTTGAAAGTGACTTTAAGGCAGTTAAGAGTCATTGAGTGAAGATAGTGTATTCTTAACAGTTCTCTAATTAAAAACCTACAGAAAAAATGTTTCAGTTTTAGCAATAGCACTTAGACTTATATACCGCTTTACAGTGTTTTACAGTTCTTTACAGCCCCCTCTAAGCAGTTCACAGAGTCAGCATATTGCCCCCAACAAACTGGGTCCTCATTTTACCCACCTCAGAAGGATGGAAGGCTGAGTCAACCTTGAGCCTGGTGGGATTTGAACTGCCAAATTGCAGGCAGTCAGCAGAAGTAGCCCACAGTACTGCACTCTAACCATTGCACCACTGAGGCTCTAAAGAGAATATTAATAATTGATATGGTTATAAAATTTCCTAGCATATATTAATATGCCCTTTTATTAAGATTTATCCTGATGGTCCGTTGAATGACTCATCTCTTTGGATGAAATAAGAAAGGCCATATGCACTGATAAATTTCTTTTGTTTAGAATTAGCTTGGACAATGTTTTATTTAGTCACACATTCCTGTTGAGCTATGCAACATGTAACTCAAGTTCAGACACTATTAGAATTTTATATTAAATGTAAAACTTTATATCTTTCTGCACTAATTTTGCAAATATAATGGTTGGAATTGTAAAATTGCTTCTATGCCAAAATTATAGTCTTAATATTTAATATTAATACATAAAATTGAAAGTAGAAGAACATTGGTACCCTAAATTACTTTAAGATAATATAATATAAAAAGATAATATAAAAAGTTTGGTGAAGTGAAATGTTAAATCTTACCATACAAAATTTATCTCTTTCATAATGGTACATGCTATGGGTAGTCCTTGACTTATAACTATTTGTTTAATGACCTTCAGAGTTATGGTACTGAGAAAAGTCATTTATGACCTGTCCTTGCATTTATAACTGTCACAGTGTCCCCAGTATCACATGATCAACATTTGGGTTCTTGGCAATTGGCATGAAATTGCAATAGTTGCAGTGTCCCAGAGCAGAGTCACGTGATCACCTCTAGTGAAGGTTAGTGGGGGGGGGAGGTTACTTGGAGGGGACTAAATTCACTTAAGACTGTAGCAAAAAAGTTAAAAAATAGGCATGATTTACTTAACTATATCACTTACGATGTAGATTCCGGTCCTGAATTGAGAACTACCGTACCTGTATTATTTTCTAATCTCAAACTCAACTATGGAAATTCAATGGCTAACTCTGCCAGTTACCGTCCCTCAGCCTAACCCCGTGATGGAGAACTTATGGCACGTGTGCCACAGGTGGCACATAGAGCCATATTTGGTTGCATGCCAGCCATCAGCTCTGGCGCGCATGGACATGCCGGCCAACTGGTTTTTCTCCCTCCTCAGGTTTCAGGAAAGCCTCCGGAGACTGGGGAGGGCGAAAAACAGCCCCAATAGCCCAATCGGAAGTTCGAGAACAATCCCTTTCCGGCTTCCAGAGAGCCTTTGGGGCCCGGGGGAAGCCGTTTTCGCCCTCCCCAGGCTTCAGGAAAGCCTCCAGAGCCTGGCAAGAGGTTGCACGTGCATGGGTGGGTGGGTTGCGTGCACATGCGCAGGTGGGCGAGGAGATTGAGTGGGCATGTGCATGCAATAGGACGCATGTGCATGTGATAGGACGTGCACGCAATTTTGGCACGCCATAAAGAAAAGATTCACCATCACTGGCCTAGCCTACTTAAAGGGGTAATTGCTGTGGAGTTAAAGTGAAAAGAAATAAGGCTGTCTTGTGCTCCTGGAGAAAAGGTAGGATACAAATCTAATAGTATGATTTTTTTAAAGAAAATTTTAAATTTAATAATTTATGTATAATGGATCTTTATATATACTTGTTATGCTAGTCCCTTTCAGGATAAAAAAAGTTAGATTAAGTGTAGAAAAGGAATAAAAATGGTAAAAGAAACAGGACTAAAAAAATATATTGTAACTAAATCTTGTTTTATATAGGTGCCATTCACAATTGTTGTCCATACTTTTTCCGTCCTTGGAAACTTCCCGGTTTTGTCATTCATTCATATATTGCATTTAATTTTTCAAACTGTTAAACTGTTTTTTAAGAGTCTCATTAGGATTTTTCCTTTTTGTCAGTCCATCACTCTTCCTTTATATTTTTATTTAAGATGCAGTCCTCATGCATTCCCTCCATATAACCAAGTCACATTAATATATCACTTTTGTACTGCTCACTCATCTTTTCTATATAGTTCACATTTACTCAGCACCCATTTTATCTTGATCCTATCTCTTCTTGCTTTACTGCCTATATTTCTTAATAACTGATTTTGACTCCATTCAACTTTTACGCTTCAATTCTCACTCCCACATAACAAAATAGGCAAAAGTACATTTCATTATTGATACTATTTCTTTTTTTCTATCTTTGTAACCTTTGTAAGTAATCCATTGTCATTATTTTCCTGATTCTTCTGAAACAATTGTTTCTTGCTTCCAATATTATAGTAGATAGATAGATAGATATTTTCATTATATTTGACAAATGTTCATTCCTTGTAACAGCCCCATGGTATCACTACTTATCCATTAGCATTTACATATTTTTAAACCTTTTCCTTTTTGTATCCCTTACTGTGTGTCTGTGTGTGTGTGTATGACCATTTTTTGGTCAAACGCTACCTTGGCCTTTGATACACTAATTTTCACATCATGGTTGTGTCATTATTAATATTTGTTGCAAAACATTAAGTTATTAGCCAGCAACACGTAATTTGCATATAAAGTGGATAAAGCAGCCACATTCGTACCCCCAGCCAATATAACCTCTGTTGACCACCAAAAGCATTTTTTAACATGTTTGTCAATGTTTGTATTAATCAACATGATACCACGCATCCTTGTCATGCTCCGGGCACAGTTTTGAATCATTCACTAAGCATTCAGTTTATTTGCATTTATGATTTATTTATACCATATTTGTTAGTTT